CGTATATAAAATTACCAATAGGCGTATACAAAAATAGTTTAAAACCATCAAATAGGCGTAATCTAGAGTAAATGGTCTATGCATTTCATGGGGTTTCCTGCTTCATCAGGACCATCATCGCCTTTAAAGATATTCAGTCATAGTTGGTAATGAAATAGTACAGGACTGCGGTATGGACACAGTTCCTGATCTAGGGGGCTGATCAATTACATTACTCAGTGTAAAAAAACATTAATGTGCTAATAAAATTATATATAATAAATTATATATAAATTATGTTAATACAAAAATATATATATAAAATTATGAGTCCAGTGAAAAAACAAAGTGACAAAAAATCAGAAAAATCCCAGAAAGTATATATATATATATATAATTAAAGTCCCGTGACAAAATTAATCAAATTAATTTATAATATATTTTCCATATGATTCTTCCGTGTTACGGATCCCTTCACCATCCACCAGTGCAGAAATCAACATTAACCGCACTCACCAGATAATGGTGAGTCACACGCCTTTCAGGATTGTTAAAGGGCTCCTGGACCCCCTTTACTTTCTCTGAGACCTCCAAGTGCTGTTTCCTCTCATGTCTAGGTACCTCTTCTGCTTACTCCTCTCACCGAATCCCCCAAAGGAAAATCAGGAAGAAGAAAAGACCATAGCGTGATACCGCAGTAACTTCTCCTCAAATTAATCTCTCCAGACCACTCACATTCTTTTGCGGGATATAGCCCGCTTTTTATTCAAAACAACAGCGATTCTCTTCAAAATTGATCCACTTTTCATGTACACCGATTATATAAGGATTATATAAGGACCCCACAGTTTAGTGTGCAGCAGGATGGCAGACCTCAGCTACAGACTCTTCTCCTTAGACTAAGATGGCCCCTTGGAACGCACCGCTCGGCGTGCGCTCCACTCACCGGAAATGACGTCAGACGACGGACCAGGCAACCGGAAGTGCGTCAACGCGTTTCGCCCCACCCACAGGGCGTTATCAAGACGCTCATTACCACTTCCTAGCCGCTTATAAAGCTTTGGGAGATCCCTCCCACTAATTCCTCTGGCACAAAAACCTGGATACAAGCATATCAATCACCACCATCCATCTGCACACCCATGTGGGATCCCTGTACATCGGAGGCCATTTCAAAAAATACATTACTTAAAAAATACATTGCTTCAAAAACATACTTTACTTAGAAAATATTCTTTAATATAAAAATAAATATAAAAATAAAAATAAAAATAAATAAATAAAAAAATAAAAATAAATAAAAAAAATAAAATAAATAAAAATAAAAATAAAAAAAAAATAAAAATAAAAATAAAAAATAAAAAAAAAAAAAAATAAAAATAAAAAAATAAAAAAAAAATAAAATAAAAAATAAATAAAAAATAAATAAAAAAAAAATAAAATAAAATAAAAAAATAAAAAAAAATAAAAAAAAAAAAAAAAAAAATAAAAATAAAAAAAATAAAAATAAAAATAAAAATAAAAAAAAAAATAAAAAAAAATAAAATAAAATAAAAAAAATAAAAAAAATAAAATAAAATAAAAATATAAAAATAAAAAAAAATAAAAAATAAAAAAAAATAAAAAAAATAAAAATAAAATAATAATTAAATTTAATCATGAACACGCACTACGGACATATAACTGAATATTACCAATTCGACAAGAAACAATTTATATCAATATCTGCATTCAACCCATTAGGATGCAATGTACCCATTTGGTAAATCCACTTCGTTTCATTTTGGGACACATTTATTACCATATTGCCTCCCCTCCATGGGACTTCTACTCTATCTATCCCACAAAATTTCAACGATGCCGGATCTCTATTATGATATCTTCTAAAATGGTATGATAAACTATGATGTTTGAACCCCTTCTTTATGTTCCTAATGTGTTCTCCCAATCTGGTGGCAAGTTTCCTAGTTGTTCTCCCTATATACTGGAGCTTGCAGGGGCACTCCAGCAAATAGGTCACATGCGTACTATCACATGATATGAATTTATTGATCTTATGGGATCCTCCATTATAACAGGATTGAAAAACCTTTATTTGCTTCTTTTTATCCCCTTTCAGGGTTCTACAAACCAAACACCTCCCACATTTGAAAAAACCAACCCTATCCAAGAAGGTAACCAATTTTTTAGGTACATCTGGAACATTTTTAACAAGTCTAGACCTTAAAGTAGTTGGTTTTTTATATATAAACAAGGGCTTACTAGGTAACACTTTCTCAAGCGTTTCATCCCTCATCAAAATAGGCCAATATTTTTTGATTATGTTTTCAACTAATTTGTAATGCTTAGAATATCCTGTGATAAAAGCCACATCCCCCAACTTGTTTTTACTTGCTTTTTTCTTAAGAAGTTCATCTCTACTAATCTTATTAACCTGTTCTAATGACATAGCCAAATTTTCTTCTCTATATCCTTTCTCCCTAAACTTTTGCAATAACACTTCAGCCTGTTCCAAAAAAACACCTTCATCATCACAATTACGTTTGATCCTAATAAGCTGACTCTTAGGAATGGATTTTAGCCAATTTTCATGGTGACAACTAAAACTTGGGATATATCCATTCCTGTCTACTTGCTTGAAATATGTCTTAGTGTAAAACCTGTCATCTTTCTTGTAAATTGTCAGATCCAAAAAATCAACTGCCACCTCACTAATATTTTTAGTAAATGATATGTTATAAGAATTAATCCCCATTTTTTGGATAAACTCCTCCAGTCCAGTGTCTCTCTTGTACCTCTCCAGATTATAAAGATGTCATCGATAAATCTTCTATACACCAGCAACTCTGTGGTTTGTTTCTTAAAAATAGCTTCACTTTCCCACCTACTCATGAATAAGTTAGCCACCGATGGTGCATACTTGGCCCCCATGGCCACGCCTCTTGCCTGCCTATAATATTTCCCAGAGTACCAAAAGTAATTATGTGACATAGCTAAATTTAGACTATTAAGTAAAAATTCAGTTTGTTGTGGTTTTAAACCTGCCTTAGCCTCCAAGGCCCATCTAACAGATCCTAATGCATCCGTATGCCTTATGTTAGTGTACAGGGAATTGACATCCACACTCGCCATCACACATTTCCCCTCTTCCCTAATTCCCTTAATCAGATTAATCAAATCTCCACTATCCCTCAGGTACGCTGGAAACACTGGAACTAGAGGCTGTAGAAATTTATCCACATATTCACCCAATCTACAAAACAATGAATCTACCCCACTAACAATGGGTCTCCCAGGGGGTTTTTTAAGATCTTTGTGAATTTTTGGTAACTGGTAGATCACAGGTGTTATTGGAGCAGAGGGTACCAGATATTTAGTCTCTTTTTTGTTAAGTATACCTTTTCTACCCCCTTCTTTGACATGTTTTACTAACAAACTCTTATATTTATTGATAGGGTTACCCCTTAACAACTCATATGTTTCAACATCATCTACCAATCTACTTAGTTCTGTATAATAATCCACCTTATTTAGTACTACCAGGCCACCACCCTTGTCGGCTGGCCTTATAACAATATTTTTATTTTCCTCCAGCCTTTTTATACCAATATCTAAATCTTGTTTCTTCCTCATAAAGGGAATGGCTAAATCCTCCAGATCATGTTCCACCATTTTTTTAAACGTTTCTACACAACAATTGTTGGAAATTTTCGGATTGAACACCGATTTATTCCTCAACTGTGTATGCAGAAAATAATCATCTCCTTTTGCACTATTATACTCAAAATTAGTTTTATTCGCCCAATACTTCTTTAAATTTATTTTCCTTACAAACTTATGTATATCAATATAGGTTTCCAGTTTATTCAGTTTTTTGTCCGGTGCGTATTTCAATCCTAATGCTAAAACTTTTAACTCTTCTTCATTTAAAACAGAATCACTCAAATTAAAGATCCCTTGATTTAAGTTGACCTCTTTCTTTTTCCTTGTCCCCCCTTTCTCTCAGGTGATGGACAGGTTCCCCCCTTCACTTCATTGCTATTTTTCCTCCCCACCCGATTATCACTACCTCTTACCGTGCTAGAGGGTCATATAGAGGTTGACAGAAGAAACCACAGCCCTCCGGCAGGCGACATGCTATCCAACACACTTTCAATTGTCAGCTATCAATGGTCTTTGTATCTCTCCATTCCCCCCAAATCGTTGAATTTTATGTCCTCAAGGTGACAGGGTTACTTTAAATATGTTCCAGCAATGATCCTATATAGTATGAACTCTAGTACCAGTACCTGCCTTCTTCTCTGCCTAGGGCTCATTCCTGTTAAAGTAGAATTCCACCCAAACTCTAACTTGCTCTAAACCTACTCCCAGCTTCATTCTAAGCCTATTCTATCTAAACCTGTAAAGAAAAGGTCCCTATACTTACCTATTCTGAAGCTGCTCTGATCCAGTCCCATGCTGAGCTGTCAAAGGCATCTTCTGTGTAGAGGCAGCCAACAACAACGGATACTCCATAGTAAGTCTATCCTTGACATCATCTCCCAGGTATTTCCCAGTTGTTGGCAGCTTCCTCTCCCTATACAGAAGCTGCCGCTGGAGACCGGACTGGAACAGCTTCAGAATAGGTAAGTCTAGCAATCTTTTCTTCACTGGGTTAGATCGATTAGGCATAGAATGTAGCTGGGAGTAGGTTTAGAGTTAGGTTTTGGGTGGAATTCCACTTTAAAGACATAACAGCAATCCTGTTAAGAAGTCTGTATTTTTATCTGTTTTCAAACTGTGGTTATTAGTGACGTTTCTTTCAACAATCCACGTGGGTAAGATTTTGTAAGCGGTTTCCCCCTTAATTTCCCTGATGTGTTCCAGAAAACCTGTTTGGAATTTCATGTTGTTGAAAATTTCCAGAGCAAAATGGAAAAAAAAAAAAATACGTCTAGCTGGTGGTTCAAGAGCGTTGTTTGTTCAGAATTTTGACGGCGACGAGAGAGCCATTCCTAACCTCTGTTTTTTGTTTACTTCAGATATTCTGTGGCCCACCTGAAGACAGCGCAGCCCCCCCTGTACCTCCTCCTAGGATCACCCCCAGAACCCACAAGCCTATCACTATCTCCAAACGTCCGGTCAGAGGGAGAAACGGTCTTTATCTTGGCCAGAGTGAAGAAGGTAACATGTTTAGTAGACTTCTCTGTGTACTTTTCCTGTAGAAGGAATGTGTTTTCAAAGATGAGCGTGGTTTCAAGTCAAACTGCAAAACTTAAATTATAAAAGCCTGTCATGCTGGGACACAGTCATGGCTTCTTGTTGCATAGCTTGCTCATGGTCCATGGTTCTAATTCTGTGATCCATTAGAAAGGTAGATCGGGTAGAGTGCACAACCTTCATCAGGTTAAAGCGTATCCAAACCCAAGGGCAAAAATGGAATATGCCGCAGCTGAACACTCCTTTGGT